GAGGTAAACTTTAACGTCGAAATTGCAGACGCATACGCTTCGAAGAATGACGTTGAGAGTTCTCAAAACCACAATGAGACTTGGCGTTGCTGCGATTTCCGGTTGTCAAGGTCGTTACTCATTGTGCATGTGGCATGACGACTTGCTGCATGGCCTACTTCATTGCTGACCCACTTCTCCTTGCTGTTTGCGGTTATTCGACTCATCTGAATCGAATTGGATCTATTAGGAGCCTTGGAAACTATCGTCCATGACTTCTAATGATAGGCAATCATGTATTGCACTTTCAGACAGACGGGCGATAATGTGGACGAAGAGGAGTCCAACACTCTCGGCCACTGGAGACTCGGCTCACAACAACCCGGGGCGCTTCCAGCTCGGCAGCACTGGACGCGGATCAGCCAGAACGACACCGAGATCAGCCAATTTGACAAGATGTTCTGGTGCAGACGAGATATCTCGTCGTGGATTTCCCTTCTACTCTTCGGTTCAAGTATATGGGCCGGTTGCGATGACCGCAAATGTGATGCCTGTGAACTTAAATGTGTCCGCGTCATACATTTGCATTGGATCACACATAATAGTCGCTAAAATGGAGACAAATCAAAGTTGCGAAAACAAAGATGGCGTAGCTTTGAGTTTGGTCGCGGCCTTCCCGTAAGTGTATAGAGTTGGTTTCGCCTCATTTTCGCAACTTTGCAAGAATGAAAGCGAGACTTTGTGGAACGTGCCCTGGCCTGCGTCTTCTGATGCGTTCTTTGTGAGGATTTCCAGCATCGGACCGTTGACTTAGGTCATACCCAGACGATGCCGGCGGAAAATCGGGAAAATGATCAAAGTGATGGTCATGAATGCTCAAGGACAGAAAACGTAAGATAGGATACATTCCACAGGGTCTCCCTGTCCCTCCGAACAAGTTGGGAAAACCAGGCCAAATCAACAGTCAAATTCAGTTTTTAGTAAACAAATCAACGGAGTAGACGCAGCGGTTAGCGTAGAAGTAGTAGAAAGAAATAGCAAACACTGGAAGGCAGCTTGGTTTTGAAGAACACTGACAGATATTTCTGATTTAGACCAACAATATGCATTTGGGGAGAAGGAGAATCAAGAAACAAAATAAGATAACGCAGCAATGAAGGAGATCCCCACTGCATTATAAAGACATCAAAATTACAATTAAAGCATGCTGATAGTAACATTAAGTAAATAATACAAATCTGCCGAGGCATAGAAAAATTTTTTTGCAACAACAAGCAGAGGTATACAGACAAAATGGAGAAAACAGTTGAAGCAACGCTGCTAAAATATTTTGATAAAGGATAAACATAATTTTGTTCAATCTTTTTGTGCATTCAATCGTTTTTCAAATGCGTATGTTAATTTATTGTTTTTTAAACACGAGATTTACTTTTGCCTACGATACTGTCTTGTTTAGTGCATAATAAACCTTTGTTTTTGATACTTTTTGATTATTTTTAGCTATTATACTACATTAAGAAACGGAGGCAAAATGGTGCTATTTGAAAATTTTTCTAAAGCTTTTATAAGGAGGTGTAAACAATTTCATACCTTTATATGTTGTAATCCTTTCGAATAGCAAGATTTTGAATAGTAAATCATTTTCGCGTCACGAATTACTCTTGCCTGTAACCCGAAAGTATCATTAATTTTTTACACATGATATAAAGACTGAGAGTGGAGTCTTTTTCACAGCAAAATAGTACTTAATCGGTCATTAGATCTTATTTAAAAACTACAGAAAGTTTCGTTGCCTACTCAAATCGAAAATAAGTAAGGTCGCCGAGTTTAATTGTACTAACATATTCGCGACAGCGACAATAAACATTGATGGGGGACCTTCATTTCGTTTGAAAGTGCATGAAGAAGAGATTCGAAGGTCGATCTCACCCGATGAGGACGGATGAATCGCGTTGTACTTCAGCCGTTTGGCTTTTATACAAAGTTCAGGTTGAAGCAGTCCTCGAGGCCTCCTCAATCGTTTCGGGTGAAAACGGGCTGACCCTTTGTTCATCATTCGATGTACATCAGCAGAGCTCAGTTTTCATTCCTGCAAAGTGAGTAGTACATATTTTACCTTGGAACAAACACAAGGACAGGAGATCCAGCTCTGATGTCGTGCAATAACCAAACGGCTGCAGTACATCGCGATTCATCCGTCCTCTTCTGGTGAGATCGACCTATGAATCTCTTGTTCATGCACTTTCATACAAAATGAAAGTTACCCCAACAAAGTTATCTCGAAACCCAGTTTCTCTTCGTATCCACAATAAACATTGACTATAAAATTTGATGTGTAGACTTTCATTTCATATGAAAGTACATTATGAAGAAATTCGAAGGTCGATCTCACCGGATGGCTACGAGCAAATCCCATTATTCTGCAGCCCTTCGGTTTTACTACGACGCTCATGCTGACACAGTCCACGAGAAATCCTACTTCGCTTTGGGTGAAACTGGGCTTAGCTTTCGTCCATCATATGATGGATATCATCAGAACTGGTGCACATTCTTGTAAAAATCGCAAGTTTACACCAGATGAAGAATTTTTTATTCATTATTAGACTTTCCAGACTACCAGTAGAGATTTATTCACCCTATTTCGTTAAAAAATGAAGAACTGAAAACAAAATTTTTCCCATTCATATGAGTAGAATTCATGTTTATATTCAATCTCACATAGCCTATCTTTCCAAAGATATTCTCATCCAGCCAGAAGTGGAATGCAGTTTCGACCGTGCCTCAGCTGACCTCATCAGAAACCACAGCGGGACGTAAAGTCTACTCATATGAATTTAAGAAAAGTCAACTAACAATCCCTCATCACCTTCACGAAATTGGGTGAATACATTTAATGTACATGATCTACTGATGGTTTTAAAGTACTACTTATAAACAATAAATAAATAAATGAGACTGATTGCTATTGCAACGAAAACTATGCTTCATATACAATCCCACCTCAGGATGTGATATGACACTCGTGGCAGTCTGTTGTAGTGAGTAACGTGTCGAAATTATACGATAAATTACATTTCTTTCTAAAAGAAGACATAACCGAAGTCAGTGGTTACTTTCCCAATAGTTCGTCTATCTTCTTGGAAGGAAGGGACGACGGAAAGATTAGGAAGTGAGAAAGGGTATCACATTGCCCATCTACTGACAGAAGTGTCTCCATCTGAAAATGGATTCCTCATTAAAGAGATACTATTATCAATTAAGCCTTAAGTCAAATGCTTTCTATCAGCTAGTTTCGTACCCATAATAGGCATTGACTCCAAAATTACATCCTATAATTAGTAATAAAATTCAGATAGCAACCAACATCTTCTCCAATATGAAGAAAATAATAATTTCGAAGACTCCCTTAGTGATATGTGACATGAGTTTTCAGTTCGAAGGAAAAGTTGGTTGGAAAGAATTCTTTATGTGCTCGCACTGTAGACCGAAGGAGGGTTGTCGCGTAAGAAAGATTGCCGTGTTGTGTGAAGAAGTCCTAATAATAACTACATCGCCCAAGAAGCAATCATAGTTCCCAAGTTATTAGTTCGCTATATTGACGATCACTTTGCTGTTTGGCAACACGGTAAACAACGTTTGGAGAATTCCTTGAGCTAATAAATAGGATAGATGCCAATACTAAGTTTACCATTGGGTTAGAAAAAGAAAGTGTATAGGAAACCCCGAAACTCGGGTTTTCTTATTAATATTTTCTCCAATCATGCAAAAGGAGTCAAAATAGAAGTTATGAAATCAATGATAGTAAGGAGCCTGTGTCCAGCAGACTTAAACCACAGAGACCGGGAGATCGGTAGATTGAGGCATATACTGTTTCAGAGCAATTACCAATTCGGATTAGTAGACAATTACATATTAATTGTCGTTAACAAGATAAGGAGAATTTGCTATCAGGGGCCGGATAGACAATTGGGCAATTCTACTCGGTTCCTGATTAAGCCTTCCTGTCAGCTTGCGAAAAGGTTGGGTCGAAATGGAATATAGAAACAATGTATAAAGAAAAATTAACACTTTCTTTAGTAGTTCCTACGTTTAGAGAATATTTAGACTATCTTTCTAGATCCGATTGCTACAAGGTTTTGTGCTCTTGTGGTAAGGACTATGCAGGAGAGGCCTTCTGACCCATTCACACGAGACTATGCGAACACAAAACCACTTGTAAAGGTTTATGGGCCAACAAATCTGAGCTCGCTGAACACATTTGGCCAATACAGGACACCGGTCCAAGCCAACGTTTTGCGGGTTACAGGAACTTCACATTGAAGCTTAAGTTTAGGGAGTCCATAGAAACGTCCTGAATAGGCGGGATGAATGTTGAAAATAGAGTCGGAAAAATTTGTAGCTTTCAGATATACTGAAGGAGGGAAAGAGAGTGAGATCAGGAAGAGTCACTGAACAAGAGAACGAGGCTGGATTAGTCTCTAGACTAGCTACTACTATCACACGACTTCTGGCAAATGAGAAGCCTGACTCTGGCAGATGTCAAGCATCTCGACCAAGGATTAGGAAGATTAAGGGGAATTTTGGTTGAGAATAATTATCCAGGAGGGTTGGTTGACAACTATTTTCGAATATTGTCAAATAGAATGAAAGTAAATTCATATTATGGGCTAGATAAAATGATAGGTCACTCTACCAGTAATCTGTTAAAAAAGATAGGCGAATTACTGAGCAGCTGGGACGTCAGGACGATTTATAAAAAGAAAATAACACTGCCTCCATTTGAGATTACTCTGACCCGCTCTCCAGATCGGGCTGTACACGTTTTTGTGTTCATGTGCTCGTGCCTATGTGGGAGAGACGTGTAGACCCATACAGAAGAGGTTATCCGAACACAAAACAGCCTGTAAGAGTATGTGGGTCCAAAAATCGGAATTGGCCGAACACATGGCTCGCAGAGGACACCAAACGCTAAACGGTTAGCTCGATTTGGGGACTGTACCAACTAGTAAGTGGGAGATTAGGGAGGTGATAGAAATCAACAAATCGGCCAACACCTTGAATAAAAGGAATGCGTGTAGGAAGTTAAGCGGAAACTGTTTGTGGCTATTGGATAGGTTTAGAGAGAGAGAGAGAGAGAGAGAGCGCGGGTGGAAACGAGAAGTACCAGCAAGCAAGAGGAAGCTTGATTAGGCGGGACTTTCACATCACACTCATTTCAAGAGCAATGCACTCACACAACACGTGTGAAATGGGATGTAATCACATGTGGTACCATTGCAGGATCAAAGGCATACATGTTTTAGGGGAGGATGTAGCTGTTCGGTTTCAATTGTCTCCCTTTTACGTTTCATCTGTAGCCACTTCACATGTCATCCACAGCAAAAGTTAGAGCAAAACATGAGATTCCTCATTAAGTGGTGGCCTGCTCGGACGA